TCTTGTTACTAGTAGTAAGGCACTTGTTACTAGAAGCGATGCACTTGCTCCTAGTAGCGATTTTTGATGGAGAGTCCATGTCTTTTTGTCTTTCTCTCAAGACTGATGCGCTCGCACTAGGGAAGGTCGACATCTTCTCACCTATCCTGTCCATCTCTGTACTGTCTATCCAGAATATTGCCTGCTTCTTTGAATGCCGAGATGATGAGGTTGGGGCCTTGCCGGCTCATTGTGTCAAGTTCATCTACAACATCTTTGTTGTTTATTCCCGAACTCCAACTCAAAACTCTCTACTAGTAGGAAGGACGCTACTAGGTGGAGGCCATCGCTATTAGGTTGGAGGCCATCGCTACTAGCAGCAAGGACGCTACTAGTAGCTCCTGGCCTTACTAGCATCTTGCTGGGACTTTCTGTTTTGACGATACGGCGATGTTCGTTCGCGATCATAGGAAGGGCCTTGTTGGCCGCCAAGACCGATCATGTGGTATGAATTTGGTCCGTTGACGCTCATCAAAGATCATCCTAGCTTCTTGTTACTAGTAGTAACAAGTGCCACGCTAGTAGTAACAGGTGCCTTACTAGTAGTAACAAGAAGCTATTAGAAACTGTTGGTGGTCGGGCATGTTCCTCACCCAAGTAAAACCCTCTCAAAACAACCCTCAAGACAACGCAAAAAGGATGCTCTGCTTTTCTGCTGACTTCGTGGTCTTGGTGGGGTCTTCTCGCCCCGTTGAGGTGTCTTGACCTCAACTTCATCTAAAAGGGCTGCAGATTCATGCAGCATGCAAAAGCGTGTCATCTTTGTGCAGGGGTCATGCATCAACACTCCCCCTGTCTTCCTTGAAGACATCGTGATGCCATGCTCCTCACCACACGAGTACTCCAGGTCTAGGACCCTTCTTCCAGCATGTGTGATGAGGGCAGGCTTTCCATCAGCTCAAGCCCCATTGGTTGACAGCTTCTTCATCTGTCAGTTCAAAGGCCAACCAGGCCGTGTGGCAGCAAGATGAAACCAACAATGCCCATGCATTCGTTGAAAACAGTTGTACTGTATCCTGCAGGCCATTAGCCCAGTGTGCACCCCATTCTTTTCTTTTCTCCTTTCTTCATCAAAACCGTAGTGCCAACAGGCATTTGTTTCACCACAATGGCCAAAATGGCCTTAGGAAGGTCGCCAAGCGCAACTAAAGGCGGCCCCCCCTTTTTCTTCCCTTCCACCACTTTCCTTCACATATTGAGCTCCCGTTCCCGGAGCTCCTGCAGGCATCGAACACATGGGGCATACTTTTTCTCAGCTCCAGTTGAACATGCCGGTGGTCTGGCAGCATCCACATGGTAGATCTCGCCCCATCCACGAGACCAAAGGTGTTCACCTCTTCGGACATGGGCCATGTCGATGGTGAAGGCGCAACGGTGGCATGGAGGTGAGGTTCGGAGCACGGATGAGGTGAGCGTAGGGCAAGAAGTGAAAATATGGTACTTTTGCCCATACTTGGTGATGTAGACACCCATCCCTTGGTACCTCCGGCCTCCATCCCCGATTGGCGGTTCGCCATCACGCTGAAATGCCCTTGGGCATGCTTTTGCAGCCGCTTCTGAAGGACCTGTCGGTCTCGGTTGAGGTGGTGTTGGATCCCATGCTTCATCGGCCATCATATCACGGTAATCCCTCTCTGTAGGGTGGTAGAGAGTCTCATCCTCATTGGCCGGAGACTCTTGTGGTGGAACCTCGAGTGGTACTTCATGATCGCCAGCAGGAATCTCCTGCTCAGGCTCTTCTTGGATGCCAGTGAGCGTGACATCCGACTGAGGCTGGGAGGCTTGTCCGGATGAGCTCGAGGTCGGAGGTATGCCAGCCTGTGCCCTCTCTTCGGGAGTGAGAGAGGAAAGCCATCGCAGCAACCATTCACGGTTCTGCAATCCAAACTGGCTTCTCTCTTCAGCTGTCATGGGGCGCGCTGGACCATACGCCCAATCAACAGGCTCACCATCTTGAGGATCTCCTTTGCCCTGCCCTTTTCCTTTTCTCTTTCCTTTTGATCTGGCACTAGGCCTATTGACTTCACGGCCTTGCCAGTCAACGGTGATGGAACTTCCCTGGGATTCCGACGTGGAACTACCAGGTGGCCCAAGTGCCGGGGGCTCATATTGTTGACCAGCAGCAGCGTCACCATCATTGATAGCTGGTGCCAGCAACCAAGCACAGAAGCGCCTGAAAAGCAGGGTGGCCAAGATAACAAGGATGGTGTACAGCATCATGAACATTTGAAGCGGCTCAGAACCAGCTTGGTCAGAGGGATTCTCATCTTCATCACTCTGATTTCCTTGGGCCCTTGATTTGGCGATGAGTGCCATGAGCACCGCCAGCTGCAACTGTCGGCCGCTGTAGTTCATCATCTTTTGCATTCCTTCATCTTCCTTTCTTCTTTCTTCGCTTACTGCCTCTGGGCCATCCTCCTTTTCTTCCTTTTCTTCACTT